AGATTTCAGTCTCATCGAGCGCTTCTTCTAGGCGATGCTCAGCGGGGGCTCCATGGGAGGGAGCCCGACTCCCGTTAAATTGGCGGTAGACACCGATAAACAATCACTTGTCAAAGCAGCATGGACTTTATGACGGGTGTCAGCGTAACGAAAGGCCAGCCGCGTATCGCCGTCCAGACTAGCTCTTTTATTTATACGCAGCCACTTGGCGCGTAGACCGACTGTCTTGGTCGCCGTGTATTGTAAGCTTTGCCCGTCGCTACTCCCGAACGAGGCAGAGGGGAGAGCCAGGACGCTGCTTGGCAGCCAGCCAAGACCCTGCGCCATCCTTTGTGCGCGGTACGAATCCAGCAACACAGCGTGAACAACGAAGAATTCTGCGCAGGAAACCGGGCCGAGATTACGCGTATATTTGCCTGCTCAATATGGGAATACTCTCGCCCAGCGTCCCATTGCGGACGAGCAACTTGTGTTCGGAGCTTGAGCTCGTGTTTCAGCTCACAGGAGGACTCAAATTCTTTCTAGAATTAATCAGCTCAGACTCGAGGCATTCCAAATTCCAAGGAATACCAGCAGCGGCGGAATGCGCTGGACACTCTGAGGCTCGATAAAGAACGCGAAAAAATTGTGTATTTCCTTCAATGGAGGCTAGGATTTCTCATTCGGTACATCTCGAACGGAACAGCCTGTTTTTCTTCCGAAATCCGAAACTCTGGCCTCGAATTACCGGATATGCCTACCTAGGTTGGTGATTATCCATCGGAAGCTGTTTTCCGCGACTTCAGCGGTTTGAGGAACGCAAGGAAACACGATCGCATGACGGTAAGTCATCTTCGCGAGCTGTGTTCGATGCGGGCTGCATTTTTTTTAAATTCAATCTAAGGAGCAAACAGCGAACCTATACAGTATTCTGGAAATGGGCGCGATCGCAAGACGAGTGCGTCGTCATGAATAGGTGAACGCGTATATGCCATAAAGCCAGACCACGTCGCTTGACGCGACGGCCGGACCCGTTTCCGCTCGCGGTTCAGCCCTCTGAGCTCGAGCGAGTAGACCGTGACCGCGCCAACGCAGAAGCTTCAAGGAGAGAAACCGAAACGTTCATCCCGCTCATACAGAGATTACGTCACTGCAACAGCGGTCAAAAGCTCACAGCTCGGCCCAATCGGGCACAGATTGACGGGGGAAAATTTCAGAGAGGGGAATCGTCTGCAGGAGCAGGAATTCGGCATCGCTCGAGATCACTTATCACCTACATACCTGCAACGAATTACTCGCGCGTCACTTTGCGCAGCAAACAATCGTTCTTTTCACGGTCAATTACTCTTGGGTGAGTTTATGACCGAGAATACGGAAGATGCCGAAATAGCTGAATCGGAAAAAATGAAGTTTCGGGCCTCATGCGGGCTCTTACGGGAGATCGAATGACTCCAAAACACTCGGAACGACCGCGCGAAGAAAACGCGGCGGACAAGAAAAGAGGATCCAACGAAATCACACGTCAAGAGCGTGTCTCACAATCCGTCAGTCAAACAGTCCGTCGGACGCATCGCGCACTTGTCAAGTCTTGAGCGATGGCGTCGGAGAGAGACACCGCGGTAATGTTCTGGTAACATAACTGTGCACTGCGTCGAGCTTCTGACTCCGACAGTAGCTTCGCTGCTCCTCTCGACAACAAAACCTGTATCGGAAACGGCACGTCAAACACTCGACACGTCAGCCAAGCTGAACGACCCTCGGTTGGATGCAAACGTTCCGAGACCGAGACACCGAAAGTTCCGGTGCTCCGAAAGAACTCTTTCAATGCGAGGGTTGGACGGGCAGAGGTCCGGGGAATCGACCGAAGTTCTTGGAAACACCGAAAAAGCAAGATCTTCATTGAAATTCGAACAACGGAATTACTCAATCCGAATTGTAGAGCAGTCGCTGTGGATTCGTCGCACGGCAATCCGAAGAGGGTTGGCATTCGGGATGCTGAGGACTTGTAGACAGGTGACCGTATCCAAAGGGTGACAAGGCTAGCTCTTCAATCGCGATGTACAATGTTTGTTCTCGACTATTTCGAGATCCTCTCTGACGATTCTGAGTTCATCGAAGGCCGTCATTGATCTCAGCGGACCGCGGTTTGTGTGCTCTAACCCTCTTCTAGGACACAAGTCGATGGAAAGTGGACTCGAGCGGCTTGGCAAGTGACCGCGCACCAAGAAAATAATTGCTTCGCGTTGCGAAAAAGATTCAGACCTTGAGGTCATGGAAGCCCGAAGCGCTGAAAAAGCAACGCTCGTCCAAAGCCGGCCCTTGAAACGTTCCGAACTCCCGCGCTCGAGACGTTCGCAAACACGGAGCGACTAGGAACTTCCGAACGTGTTTGGAGAAATCGCCATGACGTGGCTCTGAGGGAGATGGCGAATACACCCGCTCTGTTTAATTCGGACCGAACGCGAATCACACCCAGCGAACCGCTGACACACAGCCGCTATCAAGCGAGCCAGCGGCAAGTTGACTGCAAGATTTCTGGTGGACTACGCGCAGCGCTGCAGCCTGGAGTTGGGCTTTGTTCTGGTTTTCGCGTCGCCGAGCGTTCGTTTCAGTTATTCTCAACGACGTCGCACACGCTGCTCATTCCGTCGGTCCGGAGGACGACTCCATATAAACCGCTCGCGAGTCTTGTTCTCATTGCGCGGCGTAAGGGACCACGAACCGCTGACTGGGATAATCGCGGCGGTAGATTCGTAAATCAGTCGGACTGACCGACCGAGTAATTTGACCCGCCGGATCAAACAGAGAGCAAAACAGGTCGCTAGTCCGGTAGCAGATCGTCTGGCGCCAAACTCGGATTACTCGAGCTCTGCCACCGGGCGTTCACGACGGTCCCGATAAAGGAGACTTTCTTTTCCCGCCGGACTCTCACGGCGAAAGTAAGCGAAAGCAGGAAGAATGCGTCTAGCGATGAGTCGGAATTTCGCCCGCGAACCGAGCAGCGATACTGCGACTGTTTATATGTATGTATGCATGGCTTATGTTAGATTTCTCCTCACTCAGAATTTTCGGCAGGGAAAGTTCGACGGTTCTTCGCAGCCGACCGGTCCGCGCTCTGCGAACACGCGTATCGAACCGATTGCTCTGAGGGAGGTCGACAATTAAAATTTTCAGACATGACGCTCATTAAACGGTTAGAGGAGGAGGGTGACGCGGCGAATGGGAATGAGTGGACTGAAGCCAGGCGGCTAGTGCGATTCGGCGTCTTCTGCAGCACCGCGGAATACGACGGCGAGAAGAGCGTGAACTCCTGAGCACATAATTTCATTTTAATTCCGGATTGCAGGCAACAAAGAAACGACCATAGATTCCTCGGTTTCGGCTCACGGGTGGTCCAAATCGGAGATTTACGGCAGTCCGCGGAGTGGTGTGCGCTTACTCGGATATTTCTCATTCTGAGGGAGGACTGGCAATTATAATTTCATCAATTCAAGATCGTTCGACAATCTCCCCCGCCCCCGTCAGAAACAGCCGAATCTTCTTAAAATCAAGAGCTGGAACCCCGGCGGTCCCGCACATCGATACGGTAGATGCTACTCTGCTCGTCCATTGCGGCGGTTAGGATTTTCATTCATTTCATTTTATTAGACGGGTTCAGCCCTGGGCACAACAGTGAGTTGAACCGAGGCCCTGCTGGCAAGACACAGTCGGAGCCAACTCACGACGGCATTGTGTCGGACGGTAGGGGGCGGCGACCCGGAAACGTTAGACCTTGTCGTCAGCGTTTGTCTCCGTTGATGAAGAGAAACTTTCAATTAAGATAGAATCCGTTCCGTCAATCTACCGAACTCGGATCGAGGTGTGAGCGAGAGTCATCAAGTTCGAATAATCGAGGAAACCTCCTGCGCCCATAGCCGCAGCTCACCATGAGCAGCAGCTGACAGACAGTCAACACACGAAGTAAATTCTCTGGCGAAGCCGAGCCGCTCGTCCCTCCGTTCGTTGCTCGCCGAGCTCACTCGTTCGGATCACCGACGGCGGCGAGTAACTCACAGACACACTCCGGCGAAGAGATTGAAACTTTTGATTTCCGCAGCCGGCGACGGAGGCGACTAGTTGAGAAGAGTCGCTTTTTAAGCGCCAACTATTCACGACCGTCCCAGGGATATGCCGCCGCGCTGAATCACCGGGACAATCTTGTTTAGCCGGAGGCATCCGAGAGAGTCGAAAATTGAGGGCTCCGCCGGATCGGAAGTCAAACTGCGCTCCCATGGATGGAGTCGAAGTCATGATGAGGCACTCACGTAGACCTCGATCCCGCTGCTCGTCTCAGCGAACAATAGGACTCCGAAGGATTCCTTGTCGCAGGATCGAGTTTTCTAATCAGACCCTGCCCGGCGGAATCGAAAGACTGATCAAATACACTTCCGAAAGGGGACCCGAAGCGCTATCTTCTGGTGAAGGGAATGAAAGTAGGCATCAGAAATCATCGAGCCTTCTGCCTGCGGACAAGTCGAGCGCAGTTCGCTGTTCTAAAAGCATGCATAGCTAAAGAACGACGAGCCATCAAACGCAAATCCGAGATTCATTTTTTGTTCACGCTCTCTCTCTGCATTGTCGGATATTTTCATGCAGACTGCAGACTAGGAGCCCCGGAATTTTCTCTCGACGAGAAGTGCGTGAGCCCGCGAGGGGACTCTCGCAAGTTTCAGTGAGGCTGGGCCTTTTCAATGAATTCACTCCGTTCCAGGAACGGACGGAACCGGCAAGCTGCTCGGAGATCCGCGATATTCTCCCTTAAAATATTTCGATTATTCGGAGCTTTTTCGTTCCCTGATGCGTGAGTTGCGAGTCGGAGCCACCTTTCATGAAAGATTATGAGAGTTCAGGCGAGGCTGCGGAATCCTCAATGGCAGATGTTGCAGGGCCCCGTGCGCGCTTCCCCGTACGGTCCATGATGCCGAGGTCTTTGCATCAATCGTTTGCCACATCGGCCCACTCTAAGAACTCTCTCTACTCACCCTCGATGACCTGCAGCGCGGCTACGAAAAACGCAGCCGGAATCACGGACGTCATAGCGCACGAGTCGGCTAGAGTTCCAACTAGTGGTTGTGTATTGGCGGTGCCCGTCGAAGTGCTCTGAGGCTACCGCCCAAAAACTTCACAGCGGATCCGCGCCCGCAGCAGCAGGGTAATGTTGTGACTGGCGCCATGGAGACTCGTGCTAGTCTTGCTCTTATGGCAAGGGAAGGAATTCGAAGGGAAGGACAAATGAGAGAGTGAGGGAGGGAGGGAGCTAGCTCGGCGGGATAGATTTTCCGATGCATGGAGAAGAGGGCTCAAGTTCTGACGACAGACTAGGCCGATTCCCCGCAATGATTTGCAGCATTCCCAACATCGACGGTGGACATGAGATATTTGACCGAGAATCTCGCGCCCTTATGATCCTTGCAATGAAATGTCATTTCTGCTGTAATGATGAGTACGCCTCTCGTTCTCGAGGAATTCTGGAGATCCACTCTTGTCGAGGCTCGCGGTCCGAACGCTTTTTAGCAGAAACGCCGTCCACGGTCCCGAGACATTACGGCTCCATGTTGCAAGCCGACAAGGGCCATTGGACGATTCCTGGAGAGCTCTAATTCGGTCTGTGGACGACGCAAAAGATGTCTGTGCGTCCCCCGCGTAGTCCGGAAAGTTGGTGGCATCATAGCATTTACCCACCAGCTTTCAATTGACTCTGGCTTCGAGGAGACTTGGGAATTTCTCAGAATCGGGGATCCGGACCTCCGGGACGACAGGGCCAGCCATGGCTAGAGGATACTCTTTAGCATTCGGCCGAGAGTCAGAGGGATCCCTTGGAACCATCCTCTCACCCCGGAGGTAAGAGCCGGCTCCCGTACTTGAGCTGACAAATCCCAATCAAGACAACACGGCGCAGTCAACATATCGTTGCGAATCTGCATGGGACATGGAAACGCGAAGAGAGACCGGCTCAGGAGGCTACAATAATTCTTTTGAGTTTCGTCACACAAGGACTCGAAATCGGAGGATAGCGATGTCGAATAGGAGGAGTCGGGGTCAGGAATCAGTGTATCGCCACTTCTAGCCGGTAGGCATAGGAGACTGGGAATCAGGGATTGCCTTCCGGAAACGACAATCCCGCGACAAGCGATCGGCTGTACAGCATTTCTCATTTTTCATTAAATTCCACCATCGTCCGCTTTAGAGGAGACGACGGTTTGCATCCCACTGAGGAAGGAGCGATTTCCTCCTCGCTCGACATCTTCTTGCTCCGATATAGAACTCGGTATTGTTCAGACGCTCCTGGTCCATTCGTGGATTCATCTTTTCACGGATCAGTTCGAATTTCAGCGTCAGTTTAGATTTAGATTGAGAGCCGATCGTCACACGTTTTTTCCGAAAGACATTGCCTTGTTCCGAGAAGACCTTCGCTTATTGTCGTCGCTCCCCAGCAGATTGCGAATACCTTCCCGCTGAATAAAACAATCTCGACTTCCGTCCTAGGCCGAGGTTCCAAGTCGGGATTAACGGCTCGACTAAATGTGTGTAGTCTCGAAGGGCAGGACGGGGATCGATTGGTTTTGAGAGGAGGCCTCTGATTGGTCTCGAGTGAGGACATCAGAACGAGGAACCGGAGACTTTCTCGGCGGCCTAGCGGAAATCGGAGAAGATGGGTCATTTCATTTACTTGACTGTATATAGGCTTTTGCCTGCAAGCCGTGGGTCGCATATTACAGGTTTTTCGGGCAGTTTCTGAGATGTCAGGGGAAACAAATTCTTTACGATGCCTTTTGCCGACGACTTATGTCTGATGGGAAATAAGGTCGACGATATGGAAGCTCTTCTGGAGATAACATCCAAAGGGGACGACCGGTGCATCAAATTCAATCCCCAGAAGAGCGGAGTGATAGTCTTCTCTCGACCATCCTCAACGCATACGTACAATCAGAGCCTCACGATACAAGCGCACATCCCTGGAGTAGAATCCTACAAATATCTGGGAATCGAGCTATCGGCCGAAAAGGACTATATATCACAACATTGGGATAAGCTCACCGGAAAGGCCAACAAGGCAATACAGAGACTCAACGCGAGAACATTATGAAGCTTCATTAGGTTCACAAAATTCTTTGGAAGGCCACAGCAGTTCCGCAACTCACGTATTGCAACGCTGCACTGACTATGCCTGAGAGACTGAGAAACCTTATCGGAGTCAGGCAGAGAGATGCGGGAAGGTGGGCCTTCGGAATACCTCACTCGAACATCTTCAAGGGGTTTATCGAAGGCGAACTCCGATGGAGTTCCTTCGAGGCAAGAGAGGCCACGAGCAAAACGATGTACTTCGAAAGAGTGAAACATATGGACCAAAAGCGCTGGCTCAAACTCGTTTTCACCGCCATTTAGTTGACCAAAGCTAAGGTAAGTGGAGAGACTCAAGAAATCGAGGCTGCAGTTCGGCCTGGAGCAGCTCGAGATACCGAAGAGTACATCGGGACAAAACGTGTGCAACGTGTTTCGCAAGGAGCTCAAAGCGAGGGTGCGGAAAAAGCTAGATGACTCATGGCGAGAGAACATGGTCACCAAAACCACATTACGTATATATCGACAAGCTAAAGACAAAAGGGGTCTCGAGAGGGAAATATACGATAAAACGCGAGGCAGCGGACTCTGGCGCTCGCAAGGGCAGTAATGCTTAACACTAGGGGTCGGCAACACGCCCGAGACCCTTCGACTCCCAAGTGCGGAGCCCCCGAGACGGACACCCGCATCGTTCTGGGATGCGAGGAAGGAGGATTCGACTCACAAGAGTTCTCGTACCGACTCGGACTTCACCCTGGTATTACCGCGAAAGATCTAAGGAGGAGACGAAGAATATCTTGAGGAAGTGGGCGGATAAATGATCTGTGAATGCGGGAAAAATTTACCCCTGCAATGAAGGAGACCATGTACTTGCATATGGAAGATCGAAATAAAATCAATCAATACGACGGCTTGCACATGATTAAGATACAGGGCAGAGAGAGATCGAGGTCAGGCCTTGAGGGATTTGCTTCATGAATTGGGAGGCGAGACATGCCAAACGGAAAGTATATAGATGTCTGACACTCAGTATTGCTTCCGAGGACGGATCCAAAGAGCAAATGTACCCAGGAGGATCAAGGCCGAGTACCTGCATTTTTTTCCGGCAGCAGGGATCGAACCCGCACCGCCTCCCGCGCGAGCGGCGTCGTTGCGGCATTTCACGAAGTGAAACGCACGTTTGCACCAGCAGTGACAAACGCGCTAACCACTCGACCACCCGTCGGTGAATAACAGTACCCGGGACGTTAAACCTTGGCTGTGTGGATCAGCCCGAAAAAGTTTTTGACACTCAGTATTGAGAGCGACTGAAAGAGCGAGGACGCTGGTGAGCAAGGGAGGAGACCGAATACGGCACGGAGTCCGTTATTCTGAGCGACCTGAACCGATTTAAGCAATCAAGATGAGGATCCGGAAAGCCATACAGTGATGCAATACGAGATTAGCTTATTTATGAAGGAAGAGAAGACTCGCAACATATGCCGCCTTGGGAAGCCAAGCCGGCGAAGTCTATGCAGACAGAACACACGGGAAGAGATCTTTTTTTCTAATCACGAGACATGGGGTTGCCAGTCAAGGGAGCCATCGAGCTCAACTCCAAGGCGAGGGGCCGAGAGGGAGAACTTGAGCGGAACGTCGTTCAGGGCCAGGGAGCCGTCCGGGAAGATCTTATGGTATCGGCTTCTTCGGAAAACGACGAGATGGGTCTTATTGACAATAAGACTAAGTGTAAGAGGTCCAAGTCCACGGGTGTTTCCCCCGAACAGAACTCCTAGGGGATCCCTATCAAGTGATAAGAAAATGTTAAAATCTCGGCGGCGACCGACGGGAGCTTCAGAAGCTCTAGAAGAGCCTCTGAGCGGGAACTTCGATGATAACAGGGGCGTATGCAGATGGGACCTTCTATTGACTCGGGATCGGCTCATCACTGTACGTGCCACGCATTGCATGCCAAGTGGGCAGCAATTGATTGGGAACTCCGGAGCTTCATTGTCTTGGAATCGCACCGGTCGAATCTGCCTTATCCTATCGTGCCGGGAAACGGGATGACATGTCTCAAGTCTCGATTTGCTCCGCGCCAAAGGCCTTCCCGAGGCCTTGCCGTGAGATCTTCGGGATCGATCGAGCTCGATAGAACCGACCGGGTGAGGAGCCCTAGAGAATGATTACGAAAGTTTTCTTCGATTTATCCGGTACTCAGCTTCTTTGGATTCCACCAGGAGATCCGCGTCAAGTATCCCTAAACGTGGAAGCACTGACCCAGTATCGAAATTCGTCCCACCTCAGGGAGAGATCGGAAGGATGCGCCCATGTTCGACTTCCCGTCATGAAATGCACAGATAATTAAGGAAAAATCAACATACTCGTGGAATGAAGTTTGATGGAGGACCTAACCTGCGCACCACCTCACCTAAACTTCCATGGGTGCGGAGCGGAAAACATTAGGGAAAGCCTCATCAAATTTCCCATGTCCTCCCGAGGACTCCTGGTGAAACTGATACGAGCTCTGACTCCAGAATTCAGCCTTTTCGCCCATTATGCTGGAGCTATCCACGGATATCCATCCATTAATGGCTTCCGCGTCTCCCGGAGTCTACCCGGTTAGCGTCGTCTGAAAGCCGCTGCTAGCAGCTATTCTCTCGGGCTGGATGTTCTCCATCCGCTCATCGGCAATCGGAGATGCGCGATGATTGATGATCTATTCGAGAGCTTCCTCCATGAGTGGCTTCTTTCGAATCGCACACTCCACACCTCTCCAGCTTCCGGTGTTTGACGCATAGAAACGGAATGCGGTGCGCGTCAAATCGACGCGAATTGTGCCTGTTCGCTTTCCGACTGTGATACAGATGTCATCCGGCGATGCTCGGTCCTCCTCTCGGCTCTCAGTCATATCTCGCCTTCCGCGGACCAGGAAATTCACTGCCATAGGCTGAAGTGCTGGGGATGAACCGAAAGCGGAAATGTTCACCAAATGA